GGGGGGGGGGGGGGGGGGGGGTGAGGGGGGGCGGGTTGTTGTTCCCAAAATCCATGAACAACAACCCCCCCCACCCCTCTATCGAAGCGGTCTGCGAGGAACCCCAAAAGTAACCCCTCTAGAGCCCTTCGACAACCCTCACAGAATCCCTACCAATGAGCCAAGAAGCCATGTTCAGCGCCCCAGCGCAGATGCTCAGAACCGCACAGAAGAGACCCAGAAGCGAAAATTCCGAGGAGTCCGCATCCTCACTTAGGGGGTCTGGTAAGTATTCAGGCTTCCATATCCACAAACTTTGGCTGGTCCCGAAACGATAAGTTCGAAGACCCTAAACCCAGAATGCTTAAACCTATTTCCGGCAAGCCTTCGTTGCGAGGTCATTTGGTTCATGTAGTCTTTTGAGCCCATAGTCTGTGCGGCACCCCGAAACCCTAAACCCTAAACCCGAAATCCGACACCCTAAACCCGAAACCCGAAACCCTAAACCCTATCCTGTGCGGCACTCTTTACGCAGCTGACGCACACGGTGCCCAGCACACCAGCGAGCATCAATGCCCACCTGGGGTTCGGAGAGTCTGGAGTTCCTAGAGACTCCCAAACCCCTTAATTAAGGTTTAGGGTTTAGGGTTTACGGTTTAGGGTTTAAGGAATATACCTTACATGATAAGAGGCTCCCTAATATGATGTAGGGTATATTCCTTAATTAAGGAATAGACCTTGAATGATAAGAGGCTCCCTAATAAGATGTAGGGTATATTCCTTCATTAAGGGGTTTGGGAGTCTCTAGGTTCAGGCTCAGTTTGCATTTAGGGTGTGGGGATTGGGATTCGAGGCACAGCCTGCCTTCAGAGTTTATGGCTCATGAGTTAAGGCTGAGCTTAGGTTTAGGGTTTAGGGTTTAGGGTTTAGGGTTTAGGGTTTAGGGTTTAGGGTTTAGACTCAGCGTTGTGGAGTTTAGAGTTTAGAGTTTATAAGGCTCAGGACTGTTTCGGATATAGGGCTCTGCACGTAGGGCTACATTTTGTTGTGGCGGGTTGCCTTACTTTCATAATCCTGACGCCGGGGTATGCGAGCCTCTATGTTCTACACGGGCTACCTTGAGGCTTAGGGTTCACAGAGTACTAAACCCTGAACCTTGAACCCTAAACCCTAAACCCTATGAGCCCTATGAACCCTATAAGCCCTATACACCCTATAGCTATAAGCCCTATAAACCCTATAAACCCCAAACCCGAGACCCTAAACCCTAAACCGTGAAGCGCTGGTCCCTAAACCCTATAAACCCTATAGCAATAAGCCCTATAACCCTAAACCCTATAAACCCTATAAGCCCTAATTCCCTAAACCATGAAGCTCCGGTCCCAAAACCCTGTAAACCCTGTAGCTATAAGCCCTAGAACCCTAAACCCTAAACCGTGAAGCCCTGGTCCAAGACAGCGGCTGGAGTCCGGTGAGTGCTGGCCACTTTGACAGGGAACCCAGTGCCAACTCTGCCACGGCTGTGGACAAGGGCAGGCACGACCTGGCTGCAATCTTCCGGTTTAGGGTTTAGGGTCTTGGGTTTCGGGTTTAGGGTTTAGGGTTCAGAGTTGAGGGTTTAGGGTTTAGGGTTTAAGGTTTAGGGCTTAAGGTTTGGGGTTAAGGGTTTAGGGTTTAGGGCAGGCAAGACTTGGCTACATTCTTCCGGCTCATACGTCGCTTGAGTTCTACAAGAAGTAATCCCTCTAAGGCTCCAAGTAGCCCAGAAGCCGTATACTTGTATAAAGGGGCCTTTATAATAATCAATTAGGATATGGTTGTGGGGTATATTATACTACAATTAGAATAAAGAACTCCCAAAGTAGTATAGGTAATTATCACGGCCCCTGTATTCTTGTCCAGTGGTGCAGGGGCCCGAAGAGCCTTACACTAAACCCTAAACCCTAAACCCTAAACCCTAAACCCTAAACCCTAAATCCTAAATCGACAACCCTGCAGAATGAGCCCTGCCATCCCTAAACCCTAGACGCCTGCCTGGACCTCAAAGCACCTACCTTTCTGAGGACTTGTGTAAGGAAATCAGAAGAAGGCACTCTAAAAAGGGAGGTTCTTAAGGGTCCAGGTTGCCCCAACATGCCTATACTTAGGCCTAAACTCTAAGCTTTTCCAAGTTAAGTTTGTCCCTTGGCATGGAGATGCAGACCTGGCACAAGTTCTACCAGTAGCAAGTTTCTGTAATATAGGGGGAAGATTAAAACAGAGCTTGGTGACAACTTGGTGGCAAAAATACACGTCTAAGTACAGTATAGACAGCGGCTATATGGGTACCTTACCCTTGGTCAGTATAGTGGCTTTAGTAACTTCAGTAGCGAGAGCAGAGTTTCCAGGTATGTGCCAGTTTAATGCGATAGGAACTAAATACGAAGTGTACTACCATTAATTCGAACCTCAGGGTAAGGACATGATGGGGTTCTTAATGCCTTATAAGTTTAAAAAATCTGGGGCATAGGGGCTGTTCAGGGCTTAGGGTCTTTAGCAGTGACGGGCCCCAGAACCCAGTGTGTTCGTATGGTAGAGGTATGTAGAGGTTGCCCTAACCCTAAATGCTGAAGCCCTCATGACTAAAGCATACTAAAGCATACTGAAGCCCTATAGCCCTAAAACCTTCTAAACCCATAAGCTCAAAAGCCGACGACCCGAAGGAGTCCTCAGCCCTAAGCACAAAGGCCTGATGATGAGATTCACCGACAGGCTTAGCATGGTCTGGCTGAAGTTGTTGAGTCCGATGTTCAGAGCCTGTCTGTGGTTTTGGGATTAGGGTTTAGGGGTTGAGGGGTTTGGGGGTTTAGGGGTTTAGGGTTTGGGGTTTGGGGTTGAGGGTATCTTCAGGGTTTAGGGTTTAGCTTTCATTTAAGGCTCCATGTACAGGTTCCCTCAAATGTCCCTCTGAAGGTTCCTACATAGGATTTTGTATAATGGCCTTATCTGTTGTTTACAGGATGCAATTGATTAGAATAGGGTTTTGAGGTACATTATCATGTAGTATTGAATCAGGAAATTTTCAGGACGGCAATGGGACACTCTTCCGAAACATGCAGATTTGTTCAACCGGGCTTGTGGGTTTACGGTTTTAGATGGTGTTAGGGTTAAGGGGTTTACGGTCTGAGGCTTAGGGCTCCGGGTCGAGAGCATTCTCTCCGAAGCATCACGCCTAACTTACCAAGGACCGCTCTTCGTGTCTGCTATGCTCGAGGTTGTGGACTTTCTCATCTTACTTGAACATAACAGAGGAATGACTAGATACATACATGCACACATGTAAAGGCATGCCCAACCGAAAAGCCGTTGAAGGGACCGAGCAGCAAAAGCAGCGCTGAAGCAAAGCACCGCGACGCGCTCCCGGGTGCTCGTCAGCTTTTTCACCTCACGAGTAACCCTAAGGCTCAAAATAGCCCAAAGTGTGGTCTTTGAGCCCAAAAGCCTTAAAATATGAGTCCCTAGAGCCTTAGGGTAATGCAGGATACTGCTATTTAGGGTCTAATTACTCAAGGTGCTCTCAGCACACAACGCACAAAACCGCTGAAGCCTATGGGACTAACCAGCGACACCTCTAAACCCTAAACCCTAAACCCTAAACCCTAAACCTACAGAATCTGCCTTCAGTCTGTTAGTTGGCCTTACGTTTCACTAATTGGCACCGCAACCCCAAAACCCTTTAGGGTTTAGGGTTTTTTTTTTTTTTTAAGGGCCTTTTCTGTCACCTGCGCTTCAGAGCCCAAATTGGGCAGGCAATGGTTTACACCCCTCGTTGCTCTCAGTACTCGCCCTTCTCCTTGCCCCGCTCCATGTTGACGTCTTTGTGCCCCGGTCTTCGATCTTCACTTTCTTCGCTTCCCGCATCCCGTCCGTCACCGTCCTTCTTGTCGTCGTCCTCAGTCCGACCCTCACCACAAGGCCTCCCAGGTTCCGGTCGTGCTTCAAGGCTGTCCTGTCCGTCCATTTGCGTAGTGGGCAGTCTCGCATTGCCGGTCTCCACCCCTGCCTTGGCTGCCAGTAGCGCCTGTTCGTCGTTCTCAATCTGGAAGAGCACTACCCATTCAGGCCCGAACACGTTCTCCACGCCGAGGTTGGTGATCTGCCCATTCCGCCATGCTTGGAACGCACGGTCAAAGAGGCCCGGCTCCTGCGAGGAAGCGGCCAGGGACGCCTCTGATGGCTGGGCAGGTCTGTCAGTGGCCTGCGCTGGCTCCTCGGTTTCCTCCGTTTGCAGGGTAAGGTGGATGCCCTTGTCGTGCGGTATGTTGAGGATGCCCATGATCTTACCCGGTCCTTCCGTGTCCGAGCCAGCCCTCGACGTCACCACCAGTCGTCTGCGTTTCACCGTGTTGGGGGTATTGAGGAGGACCCAATTCTCCCAGTCACGATAGCTCGCTGCTTGATGGTGCTCATACAGGTGGACGTCGTGCTCGTTCTGCTGCTCTTCCTCCTGCTCCCTCTCCTCGTACTGGCGTTCTTCTTCTCGTCGTTCAGCTGCGATCGCCTGACGCTCCTGTTCCCACTCGGCCACTTCATCACCCGGGGGTTGTGGCTCGTCATGTGCGGTTGACTCATGAACCGCTGCAGCGGCCTGGCTGTTCTCCTGAGAGCCAGTTCCACTGTCCATTTCGTCAATGTCGTTCAAGTTCATGTAGGTTGTGAGGCGGGCCCACCAGTTCTCAACCTTGTCAATCACATCCGTACCCGTTTCGCAGAGGATTGAGTCTGCATCCTCAGGCCCGATTGCGATGGCCGTGAGTACGGCCTGCAGCTGGCAGCCCTTGTCTGTTTGCATGTAGAGGCTGCTGGTGATGCGTCGGCGAAGTGCCCTAGCCAGCTCTCTGTCTCCGCTTGCCTCCACCTGGTGGACCAGCACCTGCAAGGTATCCTCCCACGTTGGCCGGGCATTCTCTACCATGCTAAGTTGCATGTAGATGCTCTCCTCCTCTTCCGGGGCGTGCGGGTCCTCGTCAACCTCAACGTCGATCATCTCAGAGGCCCGCATCCGGTGATCCTGTACGTGGATGAGGATGTGGGCCATCTCAATGTAGAGCATCCCCATTAGCCGCATCAATGCCCTGAACATTGTCTGGAGGTCTCTTTCACTGAGCTGTTTAAGCAGCCGCTTAGCCTCCGCCTGCCTTTCTTTGAGCACGGCGTTGGAGGGCTCCACATGTCCGTAGCCGCCGTCCCTCATCCCAAGGATTTCCAGCCACTGTCCAGTGGCCTGCAACAGGTCCATTTCTCCTCCTCCCGCTCGCTCGGACGTGCCATTGCGGCTGGTAGCCGCGGTGCGGCTATCGTTGACTGCACGGCCACCATAGGCCGCGCACTCGGCTCCTCTTTGGCTCCGCGCTTTTGCCCTGGGCACTAGCCGCCGCGTCTCTTCGGTTACCCATGTTCTTGTGCCCCCTCTCCCTCGTCCTTCTCGTCGTTCCCTTGGTGGTGTGCGTTCTCGTCGCCGGTCTCGGCTGCTTCTCTGTCTCCTTCGTCCTCCGCTATCTCGGGAGTCGCCTGCGCCTCGTTTTTGCATGAAGGAGGCGCCGTCCCCTTGCTCACGGCTCATCTGGTCCGGGATGGTCCCCGGGTTCACATTTGTGTCCTCCCTCGTCATCCTCGCCCTCCTTGGTGAACGGCTTCTACTTCGTGGCGGTGCCGAGCTGGTCCCTCCTCCCGCGCTGTGTCGCCACTCCTGGCGTTGGGCCTCCGTCATTGTGGCTTGGCCTCTCATGTTCATGAGCGCCTGTGTCTCCGAGCCGACCTGCCCCTCATAGAAGTCAATGTATTCATCCCAAACTTCGGCTTCAATCCACTCAAGGACTGGTGGGGCTGTGGGCAAACACGACGGCGACAGGTCCACGTCCATGTCCAAGTCGAGCGTCGCCAGGTAGTGGGGCAGCTGCTCAAGGTAGCCGGCATGTCCTCGTCGTTGTACCAGGTTATAGATCATACTCGACTGTTGCCGTCTGGTCCACCCTTCTCTTCTGAGTCTTGCCAGCTGGTCTCTCGCCATCATGAAGATCGGCGCGATGTCGTCCATGGCTGTGCCTTGCGGCAGCAGCATCTGAACCGCGACCAGAGTCCCAGAGACGGTCAGCAAGCCCATCTCGTCCGTCTGGTCTCGCTCTTCACCTTCACCCGGCTGCAAGGCTTCTTCCTCCATGTGATTCACGGCCTGCTCGGCGTCCTGGTGCACAACCACCGTCTCTTGGTCACTGCTGCCGTCGTCCTGGACCGTGACTTGCAGCGTAATGGTGGCGGTGCCCTCATGAATGGGCACACGAACTCTGGCTCTGTCCTCGCAACCTGCGCCTGCGCTGATTTCCAGCTGTGCGCATTGCCGTTTGTGTTCCCGGGCGTGTGCCGCCGGCGGCTCGTCTCGGCTTCCCCTCGCGGTACTGGTAGGTGTGTTGGTCGGTGGGGGCCGCGAGAAGATCATCATCAGCGGCATTTCCTCTTGACATTGGAAGCCACGACTCCTTCGAGACCCTGGGTGCATGTGGAGGAATCGCTCTGCCTCCGACCAGAGCCCGTCCGCAATTGCGGGGAGGTCACTGGCCAAGTCCGCTTGCTGATTGTCCAGCGCTGCCAGGAGGAGTGCCGCCATGTCCGCCGTCTTTCCTTTCATGTGTCCAAGCCAGTAGCCTTCCCTGGCATTGGTGCTGTGCCAGTCTAGGCGACAGAGTAGGTTTTGGGCAAGCCTCAACCGGGTCTGCTTGTCCTTCTCTTCGAGTTCGCTTCGCAGGGCCCTAAGGAAAGACAGCCATGCCGCATCGTCACTCATATTCTGCATGAGGCCAGACTCATCGCCCTCCTCTTCCCGCGTCTTACCCTCAATGTCAACCTGGGGGTACCTTTCCTGCAGACCGCCATCCGCTAGATCTGAAAGGCCCATTGCAGGTAGTAGGGCATTTCCTTCCTGTTGTCCCTGAGCCTTGCCCTCGGTGAGGTTCTGGTGGTACATCGCCCGCCGACCTTCGTCTGGTAGTTCCGACTCATCTGCTGCAGGTGGTAGCCCTCTCTGGCAAAGGGGCAGGCTCCCTTCCTGTCGTCCCTGGTTCTTGCCCTCGGTGCTGTCCAATCTGCTCGCTGCTTCCCGTGCTCGTAGTGCAGGTGCATTTCCTTCACAATGTTCCGAACCCTTGCCGTCGGTGGGGTCCTGGTGGTACTTCTTCCGCCGACCTCCGTCTGGTAGCTCCGAAAATTCACGGCGTCCTGGATCCTTGCCCTCGGTGTGGTCCTGGTGGTACTTCTTCCGCCGACCTCCGCCTGGTAGTGTCGAATCGTCTTCTCCGGGCGGGCGGCCACGATGGCAAGGCGGGCCGTGTCCGGCATTATGTCCCTGAGCCTCGCCCTCGATGTTGGCCTGGGAGCGCGTCAACCGCCGTGCCCCTCCAGGTCGCTCCGCAGTTTCAGCTTCTTGTGGTTGTGGTAGTAGGTGCGGGAGCTTGGGACCAATGTCTCCATCTTCTTGTTCAGTGTTGCGGGTCTTCACTACTTCTCGTCCTCGTCCGGGGGTGCGGGTTACTGGCACATCGTTTCCTTGCTGTGGGCGTCCTGTGGCGTAAGCGCCGAACTTTGCTTCATCAAGGTAGTGCGGCTCGGTCCCTTCAGGAGCAAGCGCAAAGATATGGAGTATATGAAGGGATGCAAGGGGCATCCACCCGATCATGGAGGTCAGCAAGTAGTGCTGCATCGTGCAAGGAACACAAGTGTTCGAGCCAAGCACGGCTGCCCGGTCGTCAGGCGGTCGCCTTCATCATCCAGCAACAGTACAAGCTGCAGTTCCTCATGCACCACCCATTGCGTATCGGTACGTGGTTCGCTCCGATCCCTCACAACCCTCGGTCCTTCATATAGTCCAGCATGCGTAAGTGTCCGTGTTATTCACTGGCACCTAGTTGGCGAGGCTGAGTTGTCGGTGGGACGCCCATGGGAGGTCCTTCTGTGCACACCATGCCAGGGACAGCCCCTTCCAACCCTGCCTGTCGAATGTTTTCTCCCTCCAGGGTCCTCCTGCGGTTCCGTCCATGTCTCTCTCCATGTTCATGAGCTTCGGGTAAATGTGCCCGGGGTGTTTGACCCCGGTGAGGGGGCGCTGTTGTTGTTCCAGCCACCAGGTCCTGGTGCGGTAGGCATCAATCATGGTTGCTGCATTCTGATCCTCGTGTAAGCTCCATCTGGTACGATGTCCAGCATAGGCCCACCACCGTTCCAACCACACCGTAGACCACCGTTTTTTGGAGTACGTGTGTACCACTGCCCTGGCCCCCCTGTACGCCCTCTCTCTGTACTGTATCCAATTCTCATCGACCCTCTTGGCAACCCTCATCATCCACACACACATTTGCAGCTGCAAGCCATTGATAAGCCCCAGGCTCGCTTGGTCCATTGGTAGAGCCCCCAACGGCCAAAGAACAGTACCTCCAATCACACGCTCCATGAGTCTGACTCTGCCCCCTATCGGCGTCTTTGCTCTCAACAGGTGCCTCAGTCCTCCCCAAAATTTGGACCTGGCTTTCGCAATCAGGGGCGCAATCGCTTCCGAGGGCGTAATCCCCACCTTAAAGGTCATGCCCAAGATGTGGAGCTCCTCGGCTGCATACAAAAGCTCCCCTTGAACCCTGATAATACGTTTCCCAGTGTGGAAAGGCGAGCAATAGAGTTGGCACTTCTTAGCGTTGATGCTGAGGCCAAATTCCTGTAGTAAGACTCCCCACTGTGCAATTCGCCGCTCTATCCCTTGCATCCCTTGGCTCCATTGCAGTCCGTCGTCCATGTACAGGAGGTTGTCCAGGTCAAGCCCTTCGAACGTGTGCGGCTGTTCGTTCCATTTGAACCTAGCTGCTGCTTCATGCATGCAGGTTTCTGCCAGAAAGCTAAAGAAGGCAGGGGACTCTATGGCCCCTTGCTTTATGCCACCCTGCATGTCAATGAGCGAGCTGTCCCAGCCTGTTTGGAGAACTGCATCTGTGTTTCGTAGCAGGTTATACCAGCATCTGTACTCAGGCGTTTCGCCCATTCGCTGCCTCAGTCGTTCTGCCAAGACTCGCCTGTCAACCTTATCGAAGGCCTTGGCTAAGTCTACCTTAAGCCAGCATGTCCCACGCTTCCACTCCTGTTCTAGCTGCATCAGGCGAGAAACCGTAAAGAGGAAGTCGCTGCACTGTCTCCCCTTGCCACTGCACTGTTCCGGTCCTCGTAATCGCAGCAGGGGTTCCGACCGGGTCAAAAGCATACGTGTAAAGACCTTGGCAGCAGCGCTGCCCATGGCCAACGGCCGTAGTTCTCCTGGCTGTGTGGGGTAGGTCACTTTTGGAATCACAATCATAACTGCTCGGTTCCAATCCTTGGGTATGGCAGCCGTGCACAATATGCCGTTGTAGAACTCAAGCAAGTGCGTCATCCCTCCTTCCGTTGCGCAAACCCCTCGGAGTAGTTCCAAACTCGTTTGATCTGCCCCAACTGCCTTACCAGTCCTCCCCGTCGCGAGTGCTGCTTTAAGCTCGTCCACAGTAAAAGCTGACACCTCGCCTTGCCATTGCTGGAGTTCAGGAAGTGGAGCCCCGGTCTGGTAGATCTTATTGAGGTGGTCGTGTATGGATTTGTGCGCTTCACCTTCGGCCTGGTTCTCCGCATAGTACGTGTCCCACCCTGTGTTTTTTGTGGCCCTGAGTTTGCGAACCTGTTCCCAATCCCCGGTCATGGCCTCATTTATGCGTCTGGTCTCCCACTCCTTTCGGGCCTGCTTTCTCAGCTTGTGCACCTCCTTCCAGGCAGCCCCGGCTCGACTGGTCCTAGCTACTTTGATGGCTTCTTTGACCTTTTGTGGATCCCTGTAGCTTCTTCCCGGCTTGGGCCTGGTGCATGTCTTCGCCATCTCCCTTAGCGTCTGCTGGTCGATCTTGTGTATGACAGCCGGTCCACCAACCCAAACCCTCGGTCTGGTGTTATGCATGGAGCGCTCTCTATCTGAGGTCATCTGAACTTCACACTGTATCATGTCATGGTCCGTGCCAAGGGCCTTGGAAGTATCTGAGTGGATCCTGAGTCGAGACGCTAGAATGCCCTTGACAGCGATGCAATCAATTTGTCGACCCTGCCGCCCGTCCTGTCTTGGTCGACTTGTCGGCGTGCTAAACTGATCCGGCCGAGGCGCAACTAGCTGAAGCCCACGACCCGCAACCGTTTCGAGAAAGCCAACTGTTTTACCATCCCTTCCGACTGGTTGGGCACCACCATCCTCGGCCTCCTCCCACCTGATCGGGGCATTGATGTCCGCCGCGAAGACGACTGGAAGAACTGTGGGCCTAAGTCGATGCAAATGCTCTTCGACTGCAGCTCTGTGTGTCGCCTGGGTGCACCCCGGGTCAAAATGAGCGCTTCCCGCCCAGATCTCAGCTCCGAATACCACGTGACGCAACCGGAACCAACACCCTCTCTCGGAGGAAATCCTGCGCACTATTTTCCAGCTGGTGTCTCTGTAGATGAGACCGCTCCCTCTCCACCTGGACTCTTGCCTATGGCTGAGCATCGTCCATCCCCCAGCTGTGTCAGTATGCCACCCCGGTTCCCGGCGAGGCACTTCTTGCACAAGGTAAATTGTGTGGTCCGTCTCGGGCACACTCAAGTCGCGGAGCGCCTGTGGCACCGCAGCCTCGTCCACCCCTCCGATGTTCCATGATCTGATGTCAAGGGTCCACAAAGCAGTAGGTTGGCTTGCTATGGGCATGTGAGACTCAACTTCCCAGGTGTCTTCTGGTCAGCGGCGGCACTCCTCGAGGGCTTGGCTGACCTGTCTCATTGTGAGCTTGGCCTCCTTGGCGATGGCCTCCACATTGACCCAGGTCTTGTGGCCTTCTACTTCATCTCGGATGAGCGAACTCTCCGAAGTCCCCGGTTCGCTTGGTCTAGTCGCCGACGCCACCGTGGACATCCCCAACCAGCAAGTGCCTGTGTTATACTCCACGTCTAGCATTGTCACCGTTTCCTGTCCAAAAGTCGATAGGGACCTTTTGACCCATCCGGCGTGTCCCGCTATGGCTCGCTCTGCCTTAGTTTTTGAATAGGTGGCGAACATGACCTTGCCGTGCGGGATGTTCACCGTGTTGCCCGAGAGCCCCATGATGACTGAGTGCATCCTCTTCCGCACCTGGTAATCGTTCTCCCCTTCCCTGGGTGAAAAAACTGCTAAGGCCGTGCTTCTCCTGGGCCCGGTACAAAAGGGGTCCGCGTCCAACTGACCTCGGAGGCGAAGTCGCTCCAGGGCTTCTCCCAGCTGCTGCAGGATAACATGTTTCCGTGTGTCACGGCTCCACCCGCCGAACACTAACGTGAAGCGCCGATCGCCCTCGTACCCCGCAGCTTGCCGTCCTCTGCCCTGTAAGAGCTCAGCAACCTGGCCTTGCAACTGTTCGACCTTCTCCTCAATGCTCGAAGCCCGTCTGTCTGTCGCCTCTGCCCGGTCTTCCACCTTACGCAGCCTGTCATCCGTCTTGGCCTCAAACATCGCCATCATACCCTCAAGGTTGTCCCGCTGAGCCTGGAGGATTTTAGAGCTGTGTGCTTCAAGCAGGCGCTCCATCTGGCTGAGGTCCAGCCCCACCGGCGTTTTGGCCTCCTCCAGCTCACGCCGCTTACCTCGCGGGCCCTCACTCGATTCCCCGGCTCTCTTCGGCGACCCCACCTCCGCCTCCATGCGAGAAATCTCCTCCAAGTCTTCGACCCCTTCTGGAATGTGTCGGGTACGCGCCCTTTCATCCTCCGCGTCCCAATTGCTAACTGTGATCTTCTGCCCTCTCTTCCGGTCTGACATGTGGCCCCCCCCCGGCAAGACGGCCGGCCCGAACTCAAAATCCCTGATCGCACCCTTGACGAACACCCGGGCCGCGACCTTTCGCCGAGCACGGTCACCTCGCGGAGAATCACCGCCCCCGAGCAGTTCTGCACCTTGCCCCCGTCGCACGCCACCCCCTTTCAGACAGGAGCCTTTGACCCCTTCAGGACAGGAACACACACATCAGGCCTTGAGCCAAAATGGCTTGAGCCAAGGGTTTAGGGTTTAGGGTTTAGGGTTTAGAGTTTAGGGTTTAGGGTTGAGGGTTTAGGGTTTTGGGTTTAGGGTACCCTTATATAGCGATTTTACAAGCCCCAGAGAGTCAATGTCATTACCCAGATTGTATATACCTGGGCCTCAAAGTACGAATACAGAAACCGGCTTAAGACCTATGTATGTCCGGGACGCAACCCTGAACCTCAAACCCCAACACCCTAAACCAACGAATCCTAGAGGGAAAAGCACCTAAACCCCTGAATCCTAGAGAAGCACCCTAGACCCTAAACCCTA